CACAGAGAGAAGTCATCCTATCTTAGCACGACCCAGTTTTTGGCTGAAGGTAGAGAAGAGGAGATTAAAGAGGGAAACGTCCAGTTGGTGGCATTTGTTCTTTCTTACAAGCACAGGAGGTAAACAGTTGTAACCTGGCACAGTGACAGCCACGTAGGAAAGCATATGGTCGCACATGCATCTATAAACCCGTGCACATGCACAATGTTCTTTGTCTGTCACTCTCTGACAAAGGAAATCACTGCAGCGAGACTTGCTGGCCAATTTCAAGATAAACACATACGCGCCCGGGTAAAATTACATCCTAATCCCATGTTGATTCTGTAACAGGTTATCTATCAATGCACAGGAATCTGCAATGTTAATTAGAGTGCGGATGTTCCCACGGACCATGGGAAATTAACGAGAACAGAAGAAGAGTGGGGCAGAGAGGGGAGCTATTGACTTCAGTTAAGACTGCTACTTCAACCCACTTCAGGACATTTGCACTTGTAGCATTTTCCATGAGTGGAGTCATGGATTTAACTGCAGTGATGAAAAGCCTGAAATATTCCATAACTTATTCAACATATGTTGCCGAGTTGATGTGTACACCATACTGCCGTAAAAAAAAATTTTTTTCTTCAGTCGTTCTGTTAACATCTGCCCTTTTTTTGTAATTCTCAGTAGCTTTTCTACAGCACAATATGCAGAGCACGCAGCCAAGAGAGCAATACAGCCCTGATGACTCAAACAGCGCCAAAGAATAAATTTCAGCTCCCTTTGGCCCTTGACATATCACCATACACCATACAGTATATGGTTCCTAACATCTGCTCATGTGGAGGTCTCTCTCAGCTTGCAAAACCAAACCCCATCTATTATTTATAGGACATAAACTCAGGGGACTGTGACCCTCTCTGATTCAATGGTCCGCTCAAGCCATCAATAATTCTTTCTTCAGTCTAAGGTAGTAAGATTATATGTTGCATAGGACATATCATGATTTATGTAAACAATGCATATTTCAGACACAAATTAAAGCCACTTGCTTATGGAGTCTGATCAATAAAACTGTCACAATGATGGAAATGGGATGAGAGAAGTGGGAGAGTTTCTTTCCTTCGCTAGCCATCCCTCTAGTTCTCAAGAGAGCCACATAAAAAGCTTGTCGTCGCCTACATGTTTCCTTATATAGGTACAAAGAGAAACTCACGGGCTCTTGCTGATCCTCTAAAGAGATGGTGCTGAGTAGGATCTTGGTGCGTCCCAGTTCCTGTGAGTCCACTTTGATCAGTCTGTGTTTAGGAGACTTCACGTCCACACTGGATGACTTCATGGGAGACCCATAGACGGGTGTTGCAGGTTCAGAAGTTCCAGACTCTCCCCTGGGTCTATTTTCTGACTCCTCATAGGGATCTTCAAAATCGAGGTCTCTCTGGAGCCGATAGGCTTTGAGGATCTCGCTCTCTGTGTAGTCTGGTGTCGGAGGCTGCGGAGGCACCTTCTTGCCAAAGCTCAGATAGTCTTTTAACCACTTGGCCATTTCCACTCAGCTTCCAAATATGCCAGCGTGTGGTGAAGGGAGAGCAGGAGGCTGGAGGAGATAGACATGGACAGATGAAGGGTTATTGGTTTACCTTTTTTTCTTGTAAGGCTTTGTGAGCTATGTGCTGGATTTGCTTTGTGAGATTTTGTGCTTTTCTAAATGTGACAGGTTAAAAATTAAATCTTTCAATTATAAAAAAAAACAAAAACCCGCGACGATAATAATCCACAGGTCCTGCTTCACTAACAATATTTGTGTAGGATTATCTCCCCCTGATCACAGAGCCACGATTTCGGTGCTTTTACATGCATTGGTGTGACATTAAACTACACCGACAGCTGGGCTTTACGCACTCCTTTTGTTTTACGCAGGGAGCAATAACGTCTGGCATCTGGACTTTGCCCAAGGCTGCAATTACATTTCACACCCCAGCAATAAAAGGCGACTCTATCACGCGGTGACACAAAAGTAAAAGCAAAGTCTGGAAGAGAATATTAGAAATAAACGAGGAATTAAATAAATATAAGTTGCTTTAAATTCTAACGATTTCACTTTTTGGAATTTGTGGAACACAAAATAATAAGTTCAGTTTTGACCCAGTCTTATTTCAGAAAGCCGAAGATACGCGGATTTCCCTAAACTTCCCCTCAAAAGCAATGACCAAAACACTGAATTTAAACGCCAGAGCGAGCGCTGCGCTCCGAAAGCACATTCACTCACCCAGCCAATTCAGTCCTTCAGCCACTTTGGATGCTTTATTCCGCGTTTTTCCATCTCGATGACAACAAAACGACACCGACAAGTGTCAAAACCTTCTACTTCCACTTTTTAATTCCACAAAAGCACAAGAAAGAACGAAAGAAACCAAAACAATCAGTATCCTTTCTAACACAAGAGCCCTGAAATCCAGCAGAGTTCCTCCAACGACTGGCGGAAAATGCGCGAGTGACGAGAACGACTACAGCTCCGAGAGAAACTCAACCGAGCGATTAAAGGGGAGGTGCTTCGTTCCCTGTGGAATATCATCCTACTCCCTTTCGCAGTCAGCCGACCGTTCATTCATTGAAATATCTGCACATCGCACATGCTTCAACAATAGCTGCATCCTCTTAAAGAGGATCCAGGAGCTGAAATAAAGAGAAAAAAAAAAAAAAAACACCTCGCACGAATGTCATCCAAACTTGTGCATTATTTATTCGCATGACATCATTGGACAATTTTAATGTTTCAGCGTCAGTCTAGGTAAGTTAAATGATTTTGCCTTTAACAACTGGGAACTTCAAACGCACTAATAGTACTGAAAATGTCATCTGCTTCCCACGCAGTTGACAACATGATCAGGGTTGTAGGGACCAAACAAAAGAAAGCCCTACCACACAAACAAGATGCCAAAAGGCATCAAGTCCCATCCACTCTGAGGAAAAACTTAAGGATGTTTGTGTTTCATCTTTTCTTTTTAATCCTTACTGACCTCTCTGAATGTGTTTCATCCTCTCACAAATGTCACATCATCCTCTGCACAGGCAGGAAAATTGGATTGTGTGCAATAGCGGTTAAGGACCATATAAGTCTGTTAAAAGACCGTAAATGCCTCTTTCTTTATGAGCTCACTTTCTCCCAGGGGTGAGAGAGAAAGGATGAGGTCAGCAAGCTAGAATCCACCCCCACCACACTATCAGCACAGCCATCAACATTATCCCATCTAGCTTTTTACATCTCCGCCATTGTGCCTACTGAGTCTGTCTCCACCAGTGTTTACCAAGTACTGGCTCCATACCCAAAGAGGGTCAAGAGATCAAAAACATAGCTCCAGGTGTTTCTGAAAGAAATCTGAGTGCACTTTATTAGTGTGAATGCAAATCTTTGTGGGCCCTGCAGCCCGATTTAAATCAATTATAGCAGTGAAGCAGTAAATGTGAAGAAGGGATTCAATTTCACTAGCCACTAAATGCCTGCCATTATTCTTATTGGGGGAAAGAAAGTTTCCAGAGTTGAAAACAAAGTCTCATTGTGAGGTTTAAGTAGTCTCAGAATCAGTCGTTATTATATGGGCATTGTGCTAAAGATTTTATCTTATAGGAATTAGATCCATATATTTATTAACAAAAATATGCCGTCCCCACAAAATCATGTTATCAAATTACCTACAATCTTTTCTTCCAGATGACAACGGAAAAAAGCCATCTTTTGGTTGTCATTATTTCCTGGAGCTTTACTAGCTCCCAATATCTCTTCCCCTGCCCTTTCTTTTCCACCTTTGAATTTTTATCTCCTGTCATATCTTTCACTGTAGCTGTAATATCTCTTCTCTTCCCCCTCCCCTTAGTCACACCTTCCCCTTTTTTCATCTGCACAATCCCTTCAATCCAACACCTCCTCTAACCCCCTAGCGAGTACCATATTGAGGACACATCTAATTTTTTATTTTCATCCCGACCAGGGTGAAAACCAGAACTCAAAGACAGAGACTAAGCAGTAGATGGAACAATCAGAGATGAAGAGATATGCAAGCTGTCAGAGTGAGCAAGAGGAGGACACGTGGAGAGCGCAGAGGGGAGAAAAGCTAAAATGGAAAATTTGGATCTCTCACCGACATGAAATCAGAGACAGACAGACTGACAGGCACACAATCAGACAGGTAAATAGTGACTGCAGTTTTTTTCCATGCAAAAAAACCGCAGTTACATAACAGAAAAAGAAGCTCCGTATTTTTCTTTTCATAGAATTAATAAGGCTGCCTCATTATAACAGGCTAAATATAGAGGTGACATTTCCTCTGAACTCCAAGCTTCACTCAGATTTTGGCTTCAATGTGCTATCATTTATGAAATTTGGCAAACACAAACATGCTACAGGTTTCACACATACACAGTGAGGCACACATAGATCAAAGCCTTGAGTTTAATCTTAATGTCAGCATAAGCGTTTGCCTTGAAAAAAGGAGGTAGTGAGGGGGGTGCAAAGCAGACCTGTAGAAGCAGCGGATTTCCATAGCTTCATCTGCCTTGCATCGACTGCCCTCATTTGGTGGTTGGTGTGCATTGCATTGCATGTGCTCTTTAATAAGGATGAGCACACCAATGTCCCACTTTAACCACAGTTAACGTACTTATCATGCAGTTACGACAAAGAACAGGGCAACTGCAAACAAAAAAACAAAAATAAACCGCAGTAATGCGAATCAGCCTAGTAAAACACACACTAGTCTTTACGTGGCACCTGTAATACAGTAACATTAAGGTAAATTCTATTTTCCCTCACCTCACTCTTTCTTATTGCATAAAGGTGTTTGCTTCCGGGGTCGGGCCCTCCGGTGTTGCCATTGGTGAGGTTTACCTTCCGTGATTGGCTAATATTTTCTAAACTGTGGAACTTTCCCACCGCTACCACTACCCGCGTTGAACTGTGAGACAAGGAGACTCCCGCAGCAGAAAACAGCGACAAAACAACAAATTATATATGACGTAATACCTCGATAATGTCACCAACACCCTATGAAACGTCTGTGCTCGTCTCTGCTTCTCTACGCTTCTTGAAACCACAACTTTTAGAACAAGTCTGCCTTTGGCTAGCTGTGCTGCACGCGACAGAACAAAGTTGCCATCCATCATCTCCAATCAAACGCTGATCCGGCGTTTCCCGCAGTGCTGATTGGTTAATTTACGATTAGGGCGGGCGCATTCTTGCTGTCCGCCAGGCAGCAGTGACTTCAGTATTTTGCCGCGAGGAGCTCGTGGGACAGATGAAACCCTCACCTGGAGCTAGACGGTCGTCCACAGGTAGGCTGCACGTCTCTCCAGCTGTGTAATTGTGTGTCTGCATGAACTGCGTTAGTGTTGATGCTAGCCTGGTGGTACATTCCCTATGTACTCCCCAAATTTTAGTACTTAGCGTGTGGCTGGTCCACTATTGAGAGATGAGTAATGGGTAAATGAATCAAACCCTCCTTAAGACCCACTGAGAATTACACTAGCATTTTAACTTTAGTTATTTTTTTATTCTTACCTTGCAGTGCACCTGTTTAGACAAAGGCTGTCCAACCGTTATGAAAAGCCTGAAAGCAAAATTTAAAAAGATTGAGGTAAGAGCCATCTGTTGTGTGGCATCTTGAGTTTTACAGGTGGGTATGTTTTAAAGGAGCACACCTGTCTGATATGCTGCTTCAAGTTATTTGGTTTTTAAATGAATGTTAAGGTGTTGAACTGGACTGTGTTATGTAGTCATTTATACAGTCCCAGGTTGCTTTCTGTGTGTATGTGTAATGGGGGGGGCAGTGGGATTTGGTGTCACCGAGCAGCAGGAAGGCAGGACTGTCCCCAGACTGCAGCTGTAACCAGAGATCTCAGGTAGCCCTCAATTATTCACATGTACCTGCACACACAAATAGCTCCTATTATCCTCCTGTTATCCTTTTTCACATGAAAGCTGTTTAAAATGTTAACTTTTTAAATAAGAACCAACAGAGAATTATAGCAATCCTCTACACGATGCAGTGTGGTGGATTCAAACTGATAGGCTGCACTGAAAGTTGCTGGTTTATCTAACTAGACTACTTGTGTTAGCATTTTCATGGTGGTGATGCTTTTAGAACAATTATAGGCTTTTCTTTGTGCTGTATCACCCTGACTTAGTGGCAATGAAGATTACCTCTTTAGGTGAGACTGTGTGGAGTATAACTTAACACTCCAAGAGGCCAGATAGGTAAAATGGCTAGTTCAGGCTGTCCTGTTGTTGTGGTTTGTACCTATTTGTGTTTGTGTGTCTTGGTTTCCCCCCGTTCCCTATAAATGACGTCCCAAACCTGCAGAGCAGCGTGCAGCTTATCCAGCTCCCTTTTCCCGTTTTTGCTGAGTCCTCACATCGCACAGGCCCTACTCTGAAGCTGCAGAGGCACAGATCTGTGACGCTGACGTCAAGGGGTACTGTTGGAAGACCTGGCAAAAAAAAAAAAAACTAATGAAGAAAAGAAATGAGGTGGCTATAGAGAGGAAGGCACAAGAGAAAATGTTAGGTTAGAGAAAGGAGGGCAGTGAGGAAAGGAGGGAGAGTGTGTGGTGCAGTGGATAGACTGTTACGATTCTGCTAGCAGCTGGAGCAGGACGAAAGGATGCTGTTTTTAATGCGGAGAGGGAGGACAGAAAATAGCTGTGTTATGTGTACGTGCGTCACAGTTTATGTGTGACAGTCCTTCGTTTTCACCGGAGGTATGATTTCACGAGAGCATAAATTTTCTGGTAGGTAGAGCCTTGCTGTGTTCTTGCTCTGACCTCTAAAGGGTAGCTTAAAGAAACTCAGGAGTAGCTGATTTTTTTTCTAGATCATTTGGAGTGTGTTTGTATTGTTATGAAGCCAGGTGGCAGTGTGTATTGTCTGATAGGAAACACAGCAGTGGCTTCGTATACTGTAGCTGTATTTAGTTGTGTGTGACACCCTGTTAGCAGCATGGATCCTCAACAGCCTGTTTATAGCCTGATGAAGAGGTTCTGTCCTTGTTTCAGCCTGCTACCGCTGCCAGTAGGTATCAAATAGAAATATAAGTGATTTTTTTTTTGCCTCCGTAGTTTATAATATCTCTGTATTTAAGTTATTTTGCATAAACTATAAAATTGTTGTGCTCTGTTGTCTTTACTGTGTTTTTCTTTTCTTTACTGGATCATTATCACTAGTTGTCCATTCTAACTGCTCCATATTTCTCAGTCATCTGTTGTGTCGAATGGTAAGAGAAGTGGTACGGTATCAGTTTTCGTGGTGACCTGTTCTCTGTTTTGGCCCCCTCAGAGTCAGGACTGGAGTAAGAGTGATGAAAGGCTCTTGCAGGCTGTGGAGCAGAATGAACCCGATAAAGTCTCAGCTCTCATTGTCAAAAAAGGTCTCTGTCCTACCAAGCTGGATGCTGAGGGCAAGTCGGCGTAAGTTGAGTGCCTAAGTCTGCTGTGCCTTCAACGCTGTTGAAAATTTGTATCCAGGTCGTACCAGGAAGCCAACCAGTTCAAATGAACTCTCCCATTTATGCCAAGAAGAGTGGTCAAATATCAGCTGTGCCAGAAACTTAGCAACAGTTACCAAAAAGTGCACCTTAGACAATTAAAACTGTCCAAAGAAATCCTTAAAAACCTTAAATTACCGTCGCATTCGTGCCCATAATTAGGGAATGTCACTCTATGACCACAAGTGTAAATAAAAGTAACTAAACTCTTGAGCTGAAACTTAACTGATGAGAAGGATCACTAATTGTGACATTTTGCAATAGAAATGCAGCTTTAAAAGCCATTTTTATTTTTATCCTCTCACCTGTAAGATGTGGTGGCATGTCCTGTTTCTCCTGACAGGTTTCACCTCTCTGCATCCCGAGGCCGGCTAGATTGTCTGGAGGTTATCATCTCTCATGGTGCAGACATCAGCGTCACTGATGGGGCTGGTGAGGGATTTCATTAAACAGAAACATAGTTGTATCCTGTAAGCCACAGGGCTGTTTATAAAATACCTGTAACTGTCTGACTGCAGGCTTCAGCGCCCTTCATCTTGCAGCCAAAAATGGCCAGTCTGAGTGCTTAAAGAGACTGTTACAGGTAAAAGAAAAACCCAACAATGACACCATAGCAAATCAATTATTTATTGAAATCATTAATAAAAATAATAGCCATTATTTTAAATATTTATCCGGTTACCAATGATGCGTGCTTGTTTCCTCTAACAGGAAAGAATGGCGGTAGACTGCACGGACAGCATTGGAAGGACACCACTCCATCTTGCAGGTCACTGTTACAGCATAAACTTATTACACCAGTTTATTTAATTCTGTAACAGTTTGCTTATTACAAGATTTTATTGATCATTCTGTTTAGAAATTCAGTTGAATTTAATCACGTCATTGCAAAACGTACTATATGCAAACTTTTAATTGCCTGAACGCCGGTTATACTCACAGCGGTCAGTGGTTGCATGTCCTGCACTGAGACCCTGTGGGACTTTAAAGCCAATCTGGATGCCCAGGACACTGTAAGTTTGACAATTTAGCTGTTTGGTTTGCTGTCTTTGCTGACCAAAAATTAATTTTATTTTTATTTATTTTTTTCCAGGACGGGGCCACCCCTCTGATATTGGCAGCCCAGATGAGTAGAGTGGAACTGTGTGTCTTTCTATTGGGTCGAGGTGCAAATGCAAACATACAAGATAATCAAGGAAGGTAGTGAACTGTTATTGATAGTATCCCAAATATTGTTTTCCTTGCACGGCTTGGTGAGGCAGTGGTATGACTGCTTGGGCCTTCATTTCCTGTTTCTTGAAATCTTTATAGATGCAATGACTGAAGTGTCAAACAGGTTGGAATTTCACATCAATAGAAAGTGTCATGAAACCACTAGAACCCTCTAGCTGAGCTAGAACAAAAAATAAAATCTCCGCAGGATTACTCTCACAGCAGTCTGGGTCTGCAGAAAGGATTCCCATAGAATTACTCCAGTAGTCGAGAGATTTGGAGGGATGCAGGTCAGGATCTCCAGCTGGGGCAACAGCTTTCGGGTTGGCTTTAGATGGCCCCTTGGAGAGGATTACTAGAGAACAGTCCTCTGGTTAAAATTAACAAGGGAAAAGACACAATTTTGGCATAAAAAGAAAAACTGCAGTATTTTCTGCTTCATATTGAGTGTCCTGCAGTGTGTTTGTTTTTTGTTTTTCAAAACACATCCTGACTTTTATAACTGGAAACTTTGAACAAAATGAACCATTGCGCCCTTTTTTAGCATATTTTATTTTGCAATGATTGACATGCCAAACGAGATGCACAATATGTAAGTGAAGGCCTGGAAAGAAATAAACATTCTCTAATACTTCTGTAGTTTCTTTTTGTATTGCATTCCTCATCGTAAGTATTTTTTTATTACCTTGTAATTATATATTGTGTGGGGTCACAGGTCTGCGTTGATGCTGGCCTGTGAGAGTGACAGCGTTGAGACTGTGGAGGCTCTGCTGAGAGGTGGGGCCAACACACAGCTGGTCGACGGCCTCGAACACAAAGCTACCGACTACAGCGTAACCACAGGCAACCAACGTATCATTGAGATGCTGCAGGATGGAGTACCTTCAGGTATGAGGCCCAAGTCTGCTTTCAGTAGTGTTTGCATTTGCTTTTGTTCTAAGATCTCAAAAGACCTGTCTCAGTAGTGCAGCTCAGATAATCAATCAAATTGCTGAATGTTTGGGAATGGTGAAAACACAGCTACTCTGATCCCTACTGTAACACATGGTACACAGCGACTTTCCAGAGATAATCAGACCCAGAGTATGAGTATGGTTTGAGTTGCTGTGATGTTCCAGATCCAGACATTCTCATTGCCCTCTTTGGAAAACAACTGTAATAGAGGGAAGTGGATCAGAAGGACAGCTGGGCGTGATTGTAAAGTGGGGCTGCTTCCGCTTTTATCTCTCAACAAAGACTTTGCTGATAGGCTACATGGAAAACAGATGTTTGACTTTTTTTTTGAGAAGATGAAGGAGGTAATTTGGTGTGCACATGATGCCTGGCTACATTGGTTCATAATAATTTGAGAGATTTTCATAGATTTACTACATAATACATGAATGGCACCCGTGTAAACTGCATATTAGAAAGCGATTTCAGGGCATTGTCTGCATGTTTTTCTAGCTGTTTTCTGAGTCTCTGTGCGGATGAGGTTTAAGTGCTTTAATGTTTCTTTCCCTATGCATACATAGTCTCTGAGGGCGCAGGGGAGGAGGTAATGTTGCATATTCTTGTGCTGCATCACTCCTTCCATAAATGAGATCATGGCTCACTTTGGCAATCATATTGTGCATGTTTTCCAATATGAGGTCATTGTTTTGTTTTGTGCTGCTTTCTTTTTGTTGGCTTTCTTTCTCTTTAGTTGCTGACCTTTTGTCTCATCTTGATTTTCTCCATTTTTCCCTTTTGTTTGTTTTTTAAGTTGAGTTTGATCTTTGCTTGCTTGTTATCACCCTCTCACCTCAATGCAGCCTTCCCAAACCCCCTCAGCCGCTTCATCAGTGCAAGGGGGGACTACCCCCCGCAAACGGAAAGCTCCTCCACCACCTCGGTCTCCTCTTCAGGTAGTGTAAGAAACATGTTAGTGGGCAGGAAACATTTCTCTGTTCAGTGTTGTCAGCACTTACAGTATCTCCTGTACCCTAAACATGAAGCGATATTAGTTTAAAACTTGAGATATGTTACACGTAAGATTTTCTTTTGATTGACTGTAGGAAATAAAAAGATGTGACTGAATTTTTAGTTTACAGCTCCACTTGGCACTCTGAAAAAATTAGCAGGTGTCCCTGTTCATACTAATTGTACCATCATTTCTTTGCTGAAATCTCTAAGCTACAACATTGCTTCTCAAGACATTAACTGGATTGTTGATTGATCTGTGTAATGTGATTCTCTTGATTTTTTTTGCTGATCTCACAAATGCAGGGCGTGTCACCTTCCCAAAAGTCCCAGAGTTCAGCTCCTCCTGCCCACTCTCCAGAGCCCCATCAGTCCCAGTCCCCACCTCCCTCTCCCCAGCCTCAAGAAGCCCAGCAGTCACCCCAGGTTAGCGCTGTAATGTTGGTTCTTATTTGGCTTTTAAGGGTTTCTTCCTTTATCTTAACATAAAAGGCAGACTATTATTGGTTGAATTATTTTGTGTCGGGTTGTTTTTGTTTTTTGCTTGTTTTGTTTTAGGCTGAAGACGAGGAGGTGTTTGAGGAGATTCGGCGGCTGCGTCTGGAGAGAGGCCGTCTGCTCCAGAAGATCAAAGCCTTGGAGCAGCAGCAGCAGAGTGCCCTCTCTGCCTTGGAGGAGGTACTGAACAAGAGTCTCCTTAATGCTTTGCGTGCATTCCCTTATTTTGTTTAAACCTTGAGTGACTGAAATTGTACTTGAATGCAACTGCAGTGGCTAATATTATGTGTTTGCTCACTAGCTTTCCCAACTAAAGAAACGTCTGGAGGAGGCAGAGGCAGAGAGGGACAAACTGCTTGAGGAACTGAAAGCAGTCCATGGTATTGGGGCGAGTGACTCTGAGGACCTGGATGAAATGCTGGACTTCCCAGGTATGCGATCCAAGTATTTGTGAACGTTCCCGTCCCACACACAGAGCGTGCATGAGCCTCATGCCGGTGTCATTGCTGTGCCACTTGGGTATTCTTACATCTTTCATGTCAGGGAGTCATGCTGATTTATTTTTGTCTTTGTTTCTTTTTAACTTTCGCTCTAGAAAAGCTGCTCTCCAAGCGCTCCAGAGCCTCCCCTGCTCAGGATGAGGTCTCTTCTCAAACGGACATCGACTCAGTCAGCCCCTCTCCTGCCCCTGCAGACCCAGGAGCTGTTGCTGAGCTGCATAAACAAATAGAGGAACTTACTTCCCAGAATGCTGAACTTGTTCTGAAAGTTCAGGTCAGGCAGCATAAATGCATAAATACACAGCTAATGCATAAGTACCTACTCTCACACATGCACAGACATGTTGACTCATTAACAAAGATAAATTGGTAGTCAAAAGAGTATTAATTGGTTCCCTGGCAGGAGATGAAGATTCTGTTTCAAGAGTTGCCGAGTGTCCTTCATTCAAGCATTAGTCATGACCACTCAAACTTTGGGATGCTTCACTTTGGTGCACTAATGTACCAGGCAGTTAGTTTATTTAGGTATAAATAGATCACAGCAACATCAGATGTAGACATGGAGGCATTTTGCAGGCGTTCTATGCTAGTTGAAGTTAATCAGCTTATTAGTGCTGATGGTTTTATGAAGCTTTCTGTTATAGTGTGATTGTTCATTCCCCACAAGTCCAAACTCAATAAAGACTTAAATAAACTGAAGTAAAATCGAATTGAACTGGCAGTATATGCTCATGTGCTCACACTGTCACAAAAACGTGGTACTCTAACGACACTACCTGAATTTTCTGTGCACATTCTGTTGGGCTCACATATTGAAGCTAACTGAGTTTTTGTCATGTAACGGCTGTGTGAAGGCAGGAAAAGGACCCAAAGTGCTCCAAACTCCTCGACAGGCAAAAGTGTACTTCCAAAACTCAGCTTTATTGCTGGATGGCAAAACGTAACAAAAATACAAAATAAACTTACGCAGGCAGACAGACAGAACACACAGCATGAATGAGGGTAGATAAGAGTAGATCGCGACACTGACAAACTGAAACACAGGGCTTAAATACACAGAGGGAGCAATCAGGGAATGGGCAACAGGAGGGAGACACAGCTGGGGCAAATCAGGCCTAACGAGACAAGGGGAAGCAAAAGCAGACGTATTAACATGAGACATGGACTTTCAAAGTAAAACAGGAAACAAAACACAGACTCACAGGCAAGCACTATAACAAAGGGAACAGAGGCGTGAGACCAGGGCAGACACAGACACTGACTGGACGTGGGGATACTGCAGACAGAAAACCAGAACACTAAAACTCTAACCAAACCCCACCCAGAGAACCTAAACTAAGAATAATCCTTAAACCCATAAAGCAACGCTAGAATATAATGAAATAACAAAATCAAAGAACCAAAAACACAAAACACTGGGTCGACGACCCCGGGGACCCTAACAGTTTTTAATAAGCTGTAGTTTCACCTGTGTTGTGTACAGATGTTGGAGATGTTCGAGAAGGATGACACAGACATGCAGACCTCCAGTTCGGACTTTGTCCCTCTCGTTCAGTATGAAACCCTGAGAAAAGAGTATGAAACCCTTCAGGAGCGCTTCTCTCAGGCCCAGGCTTCAGCAGAGGCTTCAAGTGTGGAAGAGCAGCAGTAAGCATTTATTTGAAATACTACCACTTCAAACTGGAATCACAGGAAGAGTTCCCGTTCACTGGCTCTGGCCTTTAGTCTAAAATGTGCTTGTTTACAAATTGAGTCCTCATGACTAATAAGGTTTCATGACTGCTGTTGCATCATGTGTATTATTTTTCTTTGAATATAAAACCTCATCTGTGTTGCAGCTAAGCAACAAAACACTTCAATAATACACAGAGAGAGTGTTGTCTAATTCTGAAGCAGTCACTCATTTACACCCTTGTTTGATTAACAATAAGCTGTATGTCACTTGTTTTCATAAAGGCTAAATATTTATAATTACGTTAGTTTTTTTTTTGTTTTTTGAGGACATCACCTTGTGTGCTTGTTGTTTTCTGTAATAACTAAATGTCTGACTCATATGAATCTAGCATGTTTTCCTAATTTCACTTCAAGTCTCTGTTGTTTTGCAGTGATGATGAGCGCTCTCAGGGAGGAGCTGCAGATTCAGAGAACACAGCAGCTCTGAAGGAGAAGCTGCGTGAGCTGGAGGAGCAGTTGGCCTCTTCCAAATCTGAGCTGGAGGAGCTAAAGGAGCAGATGCGTGTCGGGGTGCTTTCTGTGGAGTGTGGTATAGGGGATATTGCTGCAGCAGGTGCTGGGGCTTCAGAGGAGGGCCCGAGCCAGGAGGCAGAGCAGCTGAGAGCCAGGGTGACAGAGTTGGAGGAGGAGCTTTCTAAAAGAACGGGTGAGGCTGGGGGTCAGAGCAATTCGGACAGTGACATAATCAAACAGCTGACAGAGAAAGTAAAGGAACTCCAGGCTGCTCTGGCCCAGAAGGAGTCTACGAAAGAGGAAGAGGAGAAAGAGGAGAAAGAAGACAAAATAGATCCAGAAACAGTGAAGTGCCTACGTGACAAAGTTGCTAAGTTGGAGGCAGCCCTGGCAGAGAGCAGGTTATCAGAAAAAGATGGAGGCGGAGCAGGAGATGGAGATCAGGTCCATCGCCTTCAGGAGCGTTTGCACGAGCTGGAGGGAGAACTGAGGAAATGTGTGCCCCGCTCGGAGCTGGAGGAGGTGCAGGTGAATCTGGGACTCCAGTGTGAGCAGCTGGCAAGGGAGAGGGCGGATGTGGCTAGAAGGCTCAACGATGCCCTCCTGGAGCTGGAGAGACTCAGACCTCCACCACACGGAGAAGAGGAAGATGAAGAGGAGGAAGAGCATTCAGAGAGTTCAGAGCCCTCAGTCATATCAGGTACAACTGATAATGCGATGTCATTTTGCATGAGTAGAAAGCCATTGTATTTAGTTCACAGGTTGAGTTCACGTGTTATTATTTGTGCCTCTGTCCAATCAGAGCACTCCAGACGCTCCTTAGCAGCAGTGAGAGAAGAACTTGAAGTAGCGAGGCAGGAAGCAGCTCAGGCTCTGGATTGTCTGTGCGCCGAGCGAGAGAGCCGGGCACAGGACGCCCTGCAGCTGAAGGACACGGTGCCACTTGTGAAACACAAAGAGGCGCTGTCTGCGGTGTCAGAACAACTCGCTCAGACACTGCAGGAGCTCCAGGAAGAAAAAACCCTTCGGGGCCACGCTGAGGAGCAGGCTGCCTCACTGGAGGCTAAACTGCAGGCCATGCAGGATGCCATTCCCAAAGAGGAGCATGAGAAAGTCAAGGTCAGCAGAAATGTACAAATATGATAATAACAGATCAAAAGGTCAGTGATCAAAAGTAGCTGATAAGGCAGAGCTCTTCTTAAATATGTTAAATATAGACTCGCTTGTTGATAAATGGAAGGAAAACCATCTCCTCCACTTTTAAAGGACAGGTTCACATTCTTTCATCACCTTAACTCACGTGCACAATATACAGTAATAAGTTGCTGTAATTGTTCTGTAAAAAGCTAATTGTGAGTGAATCTGCCTGCAGTGAAAATTAATACATTTTATCTGAAGCATGAAACTTCAGGGCCTGAATGATGCCTCCATTTTTTCCTGAAAAATCTTTAATATTAAATACAATGAATTACAAAATGGGCATTTGCAGTTTCTTTAAATTGTTTATTGAGGTATGGAGAGAAGTGAGAGCTTTTAGTTGACTTCTCCTTCTCCTTTTAATTTTATTCAGCCACAACTCTTGAACAAACAGATCCCTTGTTAATGAACCTTGCCATCTTGCATATTATTAAATGGCATATAATGATAATAATACTGATATTGAATTTCCACATTTTAGAAGTTTGTTTTAAATGCACACATGGTCAGACGGAATAAAACTCTTCAGTTAATCCCGGCTCGTCTCACAGGCAGAGCTCCAGCACGCCCTGCAGGAAAGTGAGAGCGGTGCAGCAGCAGCTCGGGATGCTCTGAGTGAGAAGGAGATGGAACTGAGAGAGCTGAAATCCCAGAAGGCTGCAGAACAGGGTCTGATTTCTAAGGAGGATCACGAGGCCCTTCGGCTCTCTTTGCAGGCTGAGATCAACGCCGTCACGGCCCGTTTCAACGATCTTACTCGGAAACACGAGAAGACCTGCACTGAGGTCTGTGTGTCTATGATATTATGTGAGACCTCAGATGTTATTGTTTGCAACAGCAGCAGTAGCCGTGGGCCTTGATGCCCTCCTGCCTGCCTTTACATTATC